AGATGTCGAGCGTGTATTGAAGGAAAACAGTTTGAGCATTTGCTGTAAAGGTAAATCATCATCAGCAGCATTTTGACGCCCACTGTTGTGCAAACAGTGATCCTTAAGGGTCCTTGTGCGTTTTCATAATCGCTGTTTAATTAGGAAATTTTGAAAAATTTTCATCAGTTTTTCTTCAAATAAAAATTGTGCATAAGTTAACGACTAATCTTCTAAGTGTTATACCATTTTGGAATCGTTATTAAATGCGCCAACTTTTAAGGTTACTTGCCAAACTCTCGTAGTACATTTTTTTTCAGTACAGCCAGTTAAAGTTGAGCAAAGTTTTACTTTGAATACTTGGTTGGGAAATAAGTGGCAATTTTTTCTGAACGAAAAAAGTTGGCAGTAAGGTTGAGACACCAGTTTGAAGATGCATTATTCATCATTACATTGTAAAAATAAAATCCAAAAAAGTTAATATTTGTAGTAACAGGAGTTGACAGACTGCCGTAGGGTGTGAAATTTCTATATTTTTTTCAAAGATCTATAATTTTCAAAACACATACATAAAAATTTTTTAAATATTTTTCTGATAGCTGTTATGACTTTGCCTATCACCCGGTTTCGGCTTGACGTCGACTTCTGGGACACCCTGTATACGATTTATGCAAGACGGGCTCCTAATTCTCATATTGAGTCGAGAAATATTTCATATGTCTTATTGCTGCTATACAATATTCTGCTTGGTAAATTTTTTTTCAAAAAATTAATAAAATTACGAAATGCTTATTCTTTAGCAAACATTGAGTAAATAATTAATCAACTTACTTGAGTACCGTGCAAAAAACCCTGTTATTCAAGCCAGCCCAGGTAAGTTGAATATTTACTCGATGTTTGTCAATTAATAAGCATTCTGTGAACTTATGTCCTCACAGAATCTATCAAGCAGAATTTTGTGCAGCAACAGTGAGACACTGTTATTTTGAATAAAATGCTGATTTGATTGTTATCATATCAATCTAGATATTGTATCAGATTTGTGTTCATTCTTCCAGTATGGCGCAAGTGCTCCTTTTCCATTGGTGCATTCTATGATCATGGCCGCTAGTTTAGTCTTTTGTAGTTACACCCAGTGATTTATGACGTATTTCTTGATTTAATATGGAAGTTAGGGGTCCATCTTACACATAACTATTCTATAGTTTGAGAGTCATTCTATGTGAAATCGACGGCATGAATTAGAACATTTACTCCAAATAAACCTTCTCTTTGGTTGAAGTTGTGAGCAACGCGCATTTTTGCGTCACAGCTTCGTAAAATCGGGCCTAAGTGACATATTCTGTGTGTGTTCCAGCAAAATATATTATCTAATAAGGGCCGGAATCATAAGTACGTACATCAGTAAATACTAGTTGAGTGACATTCGAATGTGTGTGATCTGAACAAAGGCCTTTATGAACCAGACAGGCGGAACTTTTTCCATCTGACCAAATCTAGTCAATGTTTGCTTAGGAGATTTCCTGATCTAATATAAATTAAGATAAACCACTCACAGCGGCAGTTCCCTCATGCGCCCTTGCATTTTAATCAACGACACCAAGTTTTATGTAGGAACATTAAAATTCATGTCTTAGAGGTTGAATCTGCATGATTTTAAGCAATTCTAGAAGCAATATAGCACCAACTTTATGTTCTTCGAATAACTTGGGTAATTCAAAAACTAATTTATAGCTCGAAAACAAAATTGCTAGGTACACCTTAGACGTTGCGACGTCTGTTTCGAGACTAATTCAGACAAGTTGGCTTATCCTCTGGTTCCGGATGGAACTTCGTCAGATTCAAGTGAATACAACGGAGTTTTCGTATTTTGCAGCATAAATTATTTTTAAGATACCGACACTGCATTTGATATATTATTATTGCTTCTGAAAAAGGTATCGTAACACCAATATATAAATCACGAGATCTGAGAGATATTAGAAATTTATTGTCGACCTATATCAGAGATACCTGATATAGCAAAAATATTAGGAAAAGTAATAATGTTTGAATACTTCAGGTATTCACTGAATATGAAATTTTATGTGAACAATACTGATTTACCGAGGAGAAGTCCACATCAGACGTGATATTAGATGTTATCAAACAGACCAAAATCTTGATAACAACATTCCTTGTCTTTGTATTTTTTTCGATATAAGGAAAACTAATTACAGTATACCATGAATTATTGTTATACATATTGGATAGAGTTGGCTTTCGGGGCAGTATTACAAAATTACTCATTCATCTGAGAGCAAGTATCAAAATTCTTCAGTAACGAAATGTTCATCAAATGTTGCATTCCACTGGTAACTTTTTAGGTCCGCTGCATTTTATTAGGTATATATTTAAATTATAAATATCCTTCGAGCTGACTGTCTAAACAAAGTTTCGCGGATGACACAACAGTTATTTATAAACATGATTGGTCCCACTTAAAAAGCATAGTTGAAAGTAATTTTGCCAAAATTATCTAGTTGCTTAATAACAAATATTGAGGATTAATGACTCTTAGACACATTTTTTACGATTTACATCCTATTCCAGACGTCTACCAAGTTACAAAAACATCTCTATTATAGTAAATAGTCAGAAATTAGGAATTAATAGAGCATCAGATATAAGATACCTTGAAATATTCATCGATACACATTTACGATGGGATGTTCACATTTTATATTTTGTCTCGTATAAAATTAAATCCATCAAAAACATTTTGAAATAAAAATATCTCTATATCTTATACCATACCATGATCGAGCCACATTTAACCCACGGTATTTGGGGTCGGGGCTGAGGACAGTTTTATTGGTATATAGATAACAAATAAACCAATATACCTATAACAAGGGTGGATGAATACAATTACATAGGGTTGACACCAGCAAGCAGATTAAATTGGAATTACACATAAACAGAATTATTACTAAAATACCAAAGACTACAAAATAAAGTTATAAAGGCAGTTATCTCGACCCGTATACGTCAACAACGAACTTGCTAACCCTAAACAAATTGAAAAGTCTTGAGCTAATTGGACTATTACACAAAATTCACATTAAAACCATAAAGATAAATTTAGAACTTGGACAGCATTATCACATAACACAAGAACGAATTAAAATTTTTTAATAATATATTCAGAACTAAAAAAAAAACATAAAATCCCCATTTAAATAGAGGTTTACAAATATACAATTCAATAACGACGAACATACTGGAAGGAGCAGAAGAAATGCATTAAAAAATCTAAAAATTCACCTCAAAATAACGGACTGCAAGGAGAGAGATATACATAAAAGCAAACCAAAATATTTGTATAAATTATTATTGTAGTGACTGTTTATTTACTCATCTACCACATACTTATCTTTGATTTAGTTCTAGGCTATTAATGAAAGATTAAGGCCTTACTGCCAAATTTTTTGTACTGTTTTAAGGTCTTGAATGAGTTGTTGTCAAAAACATTGTATGGGCCTATTTGAGGAGTAACATGCAAACAGGCTTAAAAGTAAAAAAAAAATAAATTAAGATAGACTTGCCATTGCATAGTTAGATAAAGCTTCATGTATTTCTGGCATAAAATCCATGCAAAAAATATTAGTTCCCACTGAAATAGTATGTTGGAATCCACCTTTAAATGCAAAATGACTTATTTCCATTGCAGCAGTTCATGCAAACCATCTTATTTCCACCCAACCAATAGGAATCCTCCTATCAGTCATGTGACTGAGTTGAGTTTGCTATGCTGGTATTAGTCAGTTGAGATTATGTTTGATTGTTGTGAATGTTGTCTGTTGATGTACTTATGATTTATTATTATTTTGAAGTTAGCATTAAATTGTTTTATTGAAAATGGATAGTACAGGTGATAGTGTAAGTGTTGGTGAAGCTAATCAAGGAAGCCGAAAGAAGCGCACTACAGGAGGGAAACGGAAATTAGAAAAGTAGGTACGGGCTCTAGCTCTTCGGCCTTGCAAACATGACAGTAAACGTTTTGCCTGTGTATGGTTTAGGCCCAATCATATAACGACATTTAAAGAAGAGTTTTACAGTTTTCCAAATAAGCAAAGGCAAGATAACACAATTGCCAGCTTAATTGATACTTCTTCAGTTAAAAGACATAGGCATAGGCCTGCGGACCAAAAGAAGAAGAAAGAATCTGGTTGTAATCGCCAATACACTATAAACTACTTTTTGCCAACGCAGGCAGGCTTGAAGGTTCCAGTGTGTTTAAAGTTGTTTCGTTCTATAACTGGTGTTGGGGAAACCAGAATTAAAAACATAGCAAAGAAAGTTCATTTTGGATTAGCGGTTGAAAAGGCAGGTGCCACCACAAAAAAAAGTTGTGAAAAAACAAAGTGTAAGGGAGTTTATAAAAAAGCTCAGAGGTACAGAGTCACATTATGGCCGAAAAAAAATCAAAGAGATTATTCCTTAGCAGTGAACTCAGTATTAGTAAACTAAGTAAAATGTACAATGACCAGTGTAAGGAGTTAAAAGTGACATGCAGTATGGTTAGACCATTTTTGGTTTCAGCGTTTAATATCGGTTTTAAATCTCCTGTAAGTGATACCTGCAGTACCTGCTGCTTCCTTAATGATCAAATCAGGTGTTCCAGCGCACTTCACTGAGAAAGCTCAGTTAATGGTTCAAAAGAGAGTGCATTGCCGAAGAACCAAGCATACTATGCGAGGCAATTTGGATTCTACAATTTACGTATTACTGACCTTAAAACTAAAGATCCGGAGTTTTACACATGAACAGAAGGGCAGGCTGGTAAAGGAAGTGTTGAAATATCTTCTGCTCTCTTTAGCCACCTAACTCAAATGGACTTTCAGGGATGTTCCATACTCAGGCTGTTTAGTGATGGTTGCATTTCACAGAACAAGAATAACATTGTCTTAAGAACCCTTGTTCACTTTTTGGAAACACATATACTACCACTTTCCAAAAGATATTGTTGCTCTTTCCAGTTTGTGGTCGTTCATTTCTGCCTGCTGACCACCTCTTTGGCCGGACAGAAAAACTTCTCCGGAAAAGTTCAAAAATTGGCTAAACAAAAATACCATGACATATACAGAGAAACAGGCAAGGTGAAGATATTCGGAAAAGATTGGGTGCTCGAGGATACCAAGATTCTAAACAACTACTACAAGGACTTCAATCAATTAGTCAATTAAAAAGGATTGAAATACGTTACCAGACAGATGAAGAAATTGAAGAGTTGCAACGAAAAACAAAAAAAGAATTATTTCCAGAAGATTGTACTAGTAAGAGGACTGAAGAACTTCAAATACGAAGGAGAAGAATGTTTTGTATCTTTAAGAAAGAAAGGAAAGAGGAATCTAGAGAAAGTTAGTCTTGAAAAACTACCACTTCGTCACCCTTTGATGGACGAAAATTAAACAGATGTCGACAAACTTTTTAAAGAAATATTTGGGATGATTGGAAATCTTCTGACCCACGGATCGAATGGTACGACCAGTTGATAAATCTTGAACCCATCCAGGACGAAGTTGCAAGCGAAGAATTACCATGTGACTGCCTTGATGCTGAACTTTGCGAGCTGCACATATGATAACTTTTTTGATTTGTAGCTGTTGGATGAATATTTTGAAGTTGCGCGTCACAATCTTTTATATTGAGTTTCAATAAAAAATGTGTTCAAAAATTGATATGAAACTTTTATTTATTTGCGAATTAGCTTAATTCCACACTTATTACACGAACATTTTTCCATCGCCCAAGCCCAAATTAGTGTTTTATTTTCATATTTGAGCACCACTTGATGGTATGAGAGCAAGTACAGCCCATTATTGTGACTATTTAAGAAACTATAGGTTTTTCCCTCATACTCAAAATTTATATTATTGTGACTTAAGCCTGTTTGCATGTTATCTCCTCGTTTGGGTAACTTGTTTTATCTCTTTTGTTATACATGCTTGAAGTTAACTTCTTTTTATGAGTGACTAAATTGTGCCGAACATTAATATGCATTGATGACAGTGTTACTTGGGTAATATAGGGTCAACAGACTTGACGCCATTCTTTCGTAAAGAAAATAATTTTTATTCGCTAGTCAGATTGGTGAAGCTTGAGCTTAACACGGATCTTGTACTAAGAGCACTGTTGTAGATGTGTAGGGTACTACTGCCCTGACTACAATGTGCACACTTGACACTATCTAAAGGTCGTCTACTTCTTTTTCCTTGTAGCTTAACAATTCGGCAACACCTCTGCTTTGACCCGAAGGTGTAAGAATTCTAGAACAATATATCAGAAAAGGTGTGTTCCTGTTCTACCAGTTCAACAGTCAAGACCTGTATCGATTTTATAGGGTCATGAATTTTTCCTTAACTCTCCACCTTCTTAAATTAACAGTTGATGTGTGGATCATTCACCTCCATCCAAGGTACGGTAGACTACCACTGCCACCGACATCGACCCGATCGAAAGCAGACCCACCGACTGTTTGTTTCAATATGTAGACGTCCCAGATAAAAGGGTAGTAGATAAAGGTGTGACAATTCTACAGAAATAATAGATGACTGCTTGGAAAGGCATGCCTGAGATCCGGCAACTTTCATGAATTTTTGAGCGGAAGGGTAAACGTCGACGGTGTACCTTTGAATAGGACAGTGTGGGAGGGACAGAAGAGTGCCCACTGTACGTGTGCAAACGTTGGAATACGAGAAAAACTAAGAGAAAAGGTTACGTGTCACGGAAAATTACTGGGACAGAAACTCAGAATATGGGTCATTACTCATTATGTTGTCGGGATAAAAGATACGGTAGACAACTACAATTTTCGGAAGAATCTCACTTCTAAGCTTTAGGACTAAATTTGATCGTACATTTATATGATACGCTACTACTGGTTTTATGCAAGACGGATATTCATATGAAGCACTTTTAGATAAGGGTTTGTGCGGGTCAAGATGGCAAGCCTAAATTCGGTGTGATGAAATTGATGTATGGATACTATACTTTATGGTAAAGTGACTAAAATGTTTCAAAAATGCACTATGACGCTATGTTGGAACAGTTTGAAATGAAAAAGGAAGCCATGGGCGCATATTATAAGGCCTCTCCTAGCACCTTATAACCGTAGAATATTATTTTACCATGTTTCAAGAGGGAAGATTGGCGGCCTATCAGAGGTGAGCGTTTTTCTACATTAAATTGCTTAGAACTTAACAATTCAGCATAAAAATATAGTATGTCATATCAATCTCCTCCTTTAGGAAAGGTGTTACTGACATTACATTCCAGAAAATTGACTGATTTTGAATGTTGTTAAATGGAATCTATCATATTTCAATGAATATTTGGACATATTTTCCAAGAGAATAAGACTGATATAATATTTTTATGATTAGCTGTTGAGTTATGTGACTCAATGTAAAAAATGCTCAACTTTGATAGCTAACTGGTCAGCGACTTTGAAAGATAGTAAATTTCTCATCTATGTTTATAAGATACTGATAAGGAGCTTAAAATGAGCTGTTCTGTTCGAGCCTCTATCGTGAAATTTTCACCTCTCACTTTTACATTAAAATCTAGCATCCATGCATGAGTTTCATCACCCCGAATTTCAGCTTGTTAACTTGACCGGCACGGGTACTACGTATCTTGAAAAGTGACACTTTGTCGTTTTTTTGACATTTCTTAGGTTTTTTATGACTACGTACGTTTTTCTATAGATGTTACCATAGCGCAAGCTATTGTACAATTGTTGTGAACTCGTTTTGTAGCTGTACGTGTTGCTTAAACGTCAGCGAACAGCGATAATAGCGAGCAAACGTGAAATGAACTATTGCACAGTAATAACTATCTATTTTGCAAGATGACATTTCGTCATTTTCCATGTTTTTTAGGTTTTTTACATAACACCCCTGTCGTTCAAAATGTAAAGTAAGGGAGGGCCTTTCTGAATAGCAGTGACTGCATATATGCACTGGCACAAGTGCCTCGCAGCACAGTCTCTGCTAGCCACAGCTATAAAGTCTTATCGCGGCCACATAGAGTATTTTGTATGGACTATGTTACAATAATTATTATGATTTTATTTCATCCGATGAACTATTTGTATTCAAAACTGTATGAGGGCGAGGTGAGTTTTGCCCAGATTGGTAAAACATTCCGTATTTAACCTTATTGACTTGTCTAAAAATTCATTTTGATATATGTCTCGCTTTCTTGAACAAAAATTCTCATTGGACCAAAGAAATCCTATGATTGGTTTCTGAGAAATAGGGGGAGGAAGTTTGCTTGGTTTGCAAAAATGGTAAATGTGCCTTTTGTGATTTTCAATACTCAGAGAATTATTGTTATACTGAAGAATGTATTTCATTTAAAAGCCTTGTTGGAAGGTGTTGGGAGGTGTCATGTTGACCCTGGTCATGATCCCTACTAGGATAGTTTGATGGTAAGCTTATTTTCATACTGGCAAAAGTTGTTTGAGAATTAAAAAAATCACTCGAGAGGCCTTTTCAATGGCCTGAAATGAAAGGTAGAGAAATTTGTGTACAAGAATATGAGTGGAATATCTCGAATTGACATAAATCACAAAAAAATACAGTGAAAACTTTCGGTAAAAAATGTCGCGAATGCATTTTGAACAAGAAAAAGGTAAACGAGAGGTAAGTAAGAGACTTTGTCAGGGAGCTATCATGCCATTTTTTGTGTTTTATATGAATGGTAGAGATTTGACGTGCATTTCAATAAACGAACACCTTCTTAATCAACTTATTTACCGATGCCACTATCCGAGAATAATTTTTTGAGGTACTATTAGCGATACAAGGGTAAATAGCTGTCACTTCACCTACACTACTGAAATCTAGACTCGTAAATTGACGAAATTCATCTTGTATACTTGGAATAATTGAAAACACAAGTAACATTTTTTTTAAATTGCTTTTTTGCATTTAACTAACCTTGAGGTGTGATTCTTTCATTCTGTAATTACTTTGCTGCAAAAAAAAGATAATAAAAAACTAGTTAAACTAAAAATTCAAAATTTCAATAAAGTAAAAAGTCCCAATGAAAAATGTTTAAAGTCAATTTTCTCCTTTAAATGATTTTGTTACATGACACCTTTATCTACTTGTGTCTTCAATGAGATGGCCAGGAAAACAAAGCCTTCGCTATGATACATCGTTATTTTCGAAGTTTGTGGTAATTTGTTATAACTTATTTGTGATAAAGCACTTGTCATTCTAAATTATCTACCGTGTTGTGTTTTGAAAGATACAAGATATCTCGATGTGGATTCAACTAAAGAAGCTGACATATTTCACGCACACCGTTGGTTGAATGTACCATTTCTGTCACTTTTTCTTAATTATGTTTGAAAACCTAAAAGTAGTACCAGATAAAACCTAGAATCAGATTGCTTTTATAACTTTTACAAACTTAAGAAATAATAAAATAAGAAATAAGGCCTTAACTGAAGTACTCGTATATTACGTTGCATTACTATCAGATTCGGTGTTAATATACTAAGTGACATATAAATCCGAACACCCAGTTTAAATGGTTTTATTTTAATAAAATTTTGTATAAGTACTTAATGAAGCATAATAAGTGAATGATAAAAATTTCAAAATGATTGCACTGCTTTAAAGCCCTTTGACCTTTAATAATGTGTGGATGCACCCTGATGGGGGCATGCTTCTGATCAGGTAGTACTCTTGTGGTATCTCATTCCAGGCAACCACCAACTCCTCTCGAAGTGCTTCTAGAGTCTGAGGAGGACGTTGCAAATTGAGCAATCTCCTACCCATCATATCCCACACGTGCTCAATTGGGGATAAGTCGGGAGATCTTGGTGGCCATGATAACAATGTGACATCATTATGTAGAAAGAAGTCTATTGTGACTCTTGCAACATGTGGTCGGGCATTATCTTGTTGGAAAGTTGGATCTGCCAGGGTGTCAAGATAGGGTAAAAGATGGGGTTCTAGAACTTCGTGGATATAACGCTGCGCGTTCATGTTTCCTCTGATGAAGATTAAAGGTGACCTGGAACCATAAGCTATAGCACCCCAAACCATAACTCCAACAGTGTGATGAACATGTCTTTCACCAAAAAACTGTGGATTCCTCCTTTCACCACGTCGCCTTCTAACCCTGGCACGATCATCGTGCATGCCTAAACAAAATCGAGACTCGTCACTAAAGACAATACTGTTCCATTCCTGATCCCAGAGTGACCGTTGTCTGCACCACTCAAGGCGATTACGTCGGTGTTCTCAAGTTAAACGGAGGACCCAGTGTGGCCGGTATGAAAACAAGCCAAAACTTCTCATTCGTCGGTAAACACTTCGCATGCCAATAGGTCTTCCGTGTTCTGCAAACCATTCATTTGCAATCGACCTGGTAGTGGAGAAACGGTCCCTTAAGGCCAATAATCTTAGGCGGCGATCTTCACGGTCTGTTGTTCTACGGCGGCGTCCATTGCCCCTTGCTCTTTGCGTACGGCCTTCTCGAAGCCATGCCTGACAACACCTAACCACAGTGTCTACACTTCTTTGCACTCTAACTGCAATTGCGCGAAAAGAAAGTCCAGCTTCCCGAAGTCCCACTATACGGCTCTATCAAACTCACTAAGTTGACGAAATCGTACAGGTCTCCGTACTCTAGGCATCGTAACCGATCGTAAAGGATGTCAAGAACCAAAATCCGCCAACGTTGATTCTTTACTGCGGCTGAAATATTCATTTTTAGAGCGTTGGTGAATTAAAAAAAAGCAGTATAAAAACCGGAATGTCCAACTGATAAGGCTGAAAATTTGTTCACTTGTTATTTACAGTAAGATAAATACATTCACCAACTTTTATTAAAATAAACTGGGTGTTCGGATTTATATGTCACTTAGTATATTTACATATGGGGATTTGTTCAACATGCTGTATGGTTTTCCATATAAACATCTAGATAAAAAGTTTCATAAATTGTAAGCCGAAATTTTGCATCAAACAACTCAGGAGAGCTTATGTGCTACGCATAATAAGAATCTTGTAAGATTTATATCAAAATATGAAAATAAGTGGGTGGAGGTCAGTCGAGACAGGCTCATTTTTTAATCAGATACAGAGTTTAGCTGAGCTACTCTATAAAATATACAAGGAAAATCAGCCTAAGACAATCACTCACTAAAGGCCGACCAGAATCTAGTTTATCTGACAGTTATCAAAGAACCAAAAGATTAAAAACACTCCAACAATGAACCAGCACCAGCTCTCAAGAAATGACGTATGCAACACAAATGAAGTAAAGAGAAGAGAGGAATGTAGGTGCTGCAAAATTAACCAAATATTTTTAACCTCATTTTCGTTCCTTGAGACATCAGTTTTTACAAGGTTTTTAAGTAGTGCTATAAAGTGTCAAATCGTATTTTCTTGTCTGTTATGTTTGAAATATTATTTTGTGTATTTTCGGAGAACCCTTCTTATTCGGTAATCACTATAATATTATAATGACTCTATTCCCTATAAAACATCATAATATCAGCTTATTTCACGTATTCGACGCCATATCGAATTCTTCATATTGAATCACTGTTTCTAGACAATAGATTCCAAATCAGCGTTCTTAAAAACCCTTCTGTACCAAACTTCGTGAGGATGCTACAAATGTTGTACTTCTTTGCCGCCTTTTTGGGTATTCTAGACTACTGTGCGTCGTACGCGCGTACATTTTTTGACGCGTGCTTCCATGTGAACAGCCAGTATTGGTAAAATAGAATAGAAAATAAAAAATAGAAGTTCTTACGTACAGGGTGTTCATTTGAAAACAACTGATTAAAAGAAAAAACGCCGAGACATGTCAAAAGATTTATCAAGGGTGACAACTTTTTAACCAAAAACCGCTTCACCCCCTTTCACTCTCTGTGGGGTATCGAGTAAAAGCTTGGTTGAAAGATCTTTCGAAGTACTCTATTTTGACGTTTGATTTTTTAAAATCGGTTGATTCGTTTTCGAAAAATTTAGAAAAATCTTTATTTATCTTAAATTGTTCATACAGAAATATAAGTATTTCAGCCTTATCAAGTATATGGTTTCCATCCTCTTCGATTTGGTTTCAATGGTTTCAGTGATAAGGGGATTGATTGTATTCTTCAACATATCCAAATAAATTTCCATTAATAAACCCAATTAACTTGGTTCCTAAAATGCGTGTCCAAAAACTAGTCTTTTGTGGGTATGCCCTTCTATTCCATTTAGATAAAATGTGCATTCATCACGGAAGCAGATATTTTTTACATGAATGGTATTATCATTAATCACTGCAGTCATTTGTTCACAAAACTCAACTCGCCTATCGAAATCATCTTCGGTTAACTCTTGCAATATTGTCATTTTGAATGGATGAAATCTATAGAGCTTAGTAACTGTGTGTACAGAACCTAATGAGATACCAATCGCAGCAACAATTTTGCTTAATGAAGTATTAGGATTTATTCCAAAACTTCAACTTGGCGGCTTCATCCAAAATTCTCCTCTATTTGCGACAGATATAGTTTTATTAGATTTAGTAACAAGGTCCAAAACATACCTACGTGAAGTTCTCTTTCTCAGATGTCTGACGTTAATCGTGACGGCAGTTTGCCCAGCACACTGATTTTGGGTACCATAAATTAGAATCATTTCCACTCTTTCGGCTAGTGTGTAAACCACTTTTTAAGTAAAATCTGAATCAATAAATTAATTTTCACTATCCCAAGATTGTTACAAAGGTTACTGACAGCAAATTAAATTCTTTCTTACCCTTAGCAACAAATAACTAAACAGATATAACAATAAATACAGTTCGCCCAGGATATCTGTGTTGATGAAAAAAATGCGGCAAATTCGGGTTGTTATATGGTTGTTGGCACGTCTAATCTTCCGAATTGCTGTGTATGTTGGTAGTTTTCGTTTTAAATTATAAACGAATTGTAGATTTGGCAAACCGTAACATTTTGAACACTTATTGGAATAAAAAGTGATATTTACATGTATTTTTGTTTTCCATCTGAACAAATTAAGATAAATAAAGATATTCTAATTCTTTGAAAAGAGAATCAACTGGTTTAAAAAAACCAAAGGTCAAAATAACGGGGTTCGAGAGACCTTTCAAACAAGCTATTACTCGATATCCCTTGTCATTTAAAATCTTTGTCGTTGAGGGTATGACCCTTAATCTGTGGAAGGTTTTCAAATGAACACCCTGTATGTGAAACGTTCCTTACCATTAAGTACGTGTACAGTGACGTTGGCGGGTCGTGCGTTAGAAGGGTTGCATTGGTAGCTCCCCGAATCAGTGGGGCGGGCCTTTTGGATCAGCAAAACACTGCGACTTGTCTCGCCGCGTTCGGTGTTCACGCTCACACCGCCGCGCGATGACGAGTAGCTGATTATCTGCAACAATAGAAAGATGGTTCAGCCACGAACGTAACGATTGAGGCAGTCAAAAAGCAGTGAAAAGTGTTAGTCTAAAATGTCACCTAGAATTTTTCCAGGCATAACAAGGAAGCAACTTAAAGACTGTCCTTTAGCTTAACCATACTCACTAAGAGTTAATGACCAAATACAATTATATTAGCCTTATTTTATACTAGGCCTTTATTTTAGTATGTCCAAGGAATATGTTTTCCAACAGGTACGAGGGATGTCTTTTAAGTTTGCATATGGAAATAAAACAACACGGTAGGTAGTTTTAAATGACTTTATCGTTTTTCGAAGTATTCTCCACGAAGATTAATACACATCTGCATGCGCTCGAACCAATTTCCGAAGCACTTATTCCACTCGTTTACTGGCAGATCCAAAACGGCATTTTTGAATGCGTCAACTGCTTCTCCTGGTGACTAGAACCTTTGAACACGCAGTCTGTTTTTAATTTTCGGGAAAGTAAAGAAATCGTTAGGACTTATATCGGGACTATATGGAGGATGGTCCAATAATTCCACGTTTTCTTCCGTTAAATACTGCCTTGTTTTTTGGGCTGTGTGCAAGCTTGCATTGTCTTGGTGGAGGATGATTCTTCTTTCGGGGTTGTTTTTTCGAAGCTCGGTGATGACTTTTGGCAAACAACTGGTGTTATACCAATCCGCAGTAACTGTTATTTGCTCCTTAAGAGGAATTGTTGCAATATGACCCGCTTTTGACCCAAATGTCGCGACCATCTTTTTCGAAACTCTTCGAGAACGGATTACTTTTGTTGGCTTTTCTTCACCTTGGAACACCCAAACAGCCGACTGTCGTTTATTTTCTGATTCATAACAGTAAATCCACGATTCATCACCACTAACAATGCTGTACACATTTTTTGAGTTTCCGGAATTGAAACGGCCAAGCGTTTTTTCACACCAACTAACCCTGGATGCTTTCTGCTCTTCAGTCAACAGGTGGGGTATCCAACGAGAAACTAATTTTCTTACTCCTAATTCTTCATGTAAAATTTTTTGAAGTGTGGTCTTTGAAATCTTCAAGGACGCCTCAATCTCGCGATATGTCACATGTCCATCTTAAATGATGAGTTTGCGCACAGCATCGACGTTTTCCTGGGTGACTGCCGTTTTTGGTGCACCCACCCTGGGATCGACGCTAAGATTCACCCGTTCACGTTTGAATTATCCATACCAACGGGAAATTGTCTGACGGTAGCTCAACAAAGCATTCTTGTTGCGATGGTTGTCTCTGAAAGTTGTAATAAATTATGGCGCGCAAAATGTTCTCGGTTGAGTTCAGTTTTTCTAATGACTTTGTGTCACTTAAAATTTCACTGTAGTGAGAACACTGCACGTATTGTTGTGAAACTTTGAATTTAAGTTTACTAAAGAGCGAGGTTAAGATTCAGTACTGACGTTCGATCCGCGCGGCCTACTATGTTTCTATATGCAAAACTTAAAAGACATCCCTCGTACTTGTATTCGAACATAAGAGTCTCCCTGATTTGCTCAAACATTTTTAGAACATAGTCATTAAAGGATCATTTCCGCTTGCTTATGTTCACCACCCTCGGTCATTAAATTTTTTAATAGAAAAAACGTGTCCACGAAAGACAACGCATATGAATAATTTGATAGAAAGATAGATGCTCATGCATGAATGCTTGTTGTGACCTCATCGTAAGTTGCGTTGTGTAAGTTACTTCCCTGTCTGACAATAAATAGGTGACTACTGTGATATGTCAAACTTTAGACAAGTAATAGATAGATACGTCACCTAAGAGCTGACATTTGCAGTACTGTTTAGCATCAGCATCTAAAGTAAGCTGTATACCATATCTAATAAGATTCATGGTACACACGATCGGTTGCCCGTTAAGATAGATAATACTGTGATTTTAAAATTTGCGTTTTTGTTTCAAATATATTTATCAAACAGTTCACCACAAACGGCCCTTTTTACATTTTGTTATTTTTGTATGTCTGACGTTTCTGAGCACCTTCACGCATTTTGGGCTTGCATACTATCAGAAACGTCCGATTAAGGTGAAACATGAGCAGGTATCTTGCAAACTTGTCTTTTTATATGAGCAGAAATATCTGTTCATTAACCATGGGCATGGCCAACATTACCGCGTGGAGAGGGGTGTCGCACGCACCATCGGTTATCCCTCTATGAATAGTTAAAGCTAAATTGTTCTTCACAATATTTTCTTAACATGTCTCGTTATAAGGGCGTAGTCAGGGTAATACCTGTAGTCATCCTACCTATGGCGCCGTATTTTTTAAAAATAGGAAACAGAACACAAGGCATTTCATTTAATAAAAAGAAGCAAGCGCACGGAAAATAAAATATTCTGATTAAATAGTGCATATACCATAACAATAGTGTCAATAGTGGCTAATAACCATAGAAGCTGACACTGTCAATAAAAAAATAGTGTCAATAAAATAAACTTTGGTACAATATGAGAAAAGTGCAAAACAAAACTACAACGAAAGGTGTACCTTGCGGTCTCTTTTCTTGACAACCATACCAGGTACAGATAGTACCAATACAAATAATGTAAGGAATTAATACAAGCAACGTGAAAACATAAAACTAAGCTAAAACAAAATGTCCTTTTTGGTTGTTTCGAAAAGTAAAGATCATATACAACAGTTCAAGAAAGTACACTCTGAGTAAATAAAGAGAACTTGAAAATCCAAAACTGAACTGCAGCAACCACTCGACTTTCCGCTCTTTCTTCTGAACGAAGCTTTCAGCAATATTGTTTGGTTTTACATTACGATCCTGATGAACATGCAGAAACGCGACCTCAAGTATAATCAATCTTGCGACATAGTAGAATTAGGTTTCCATGTGACGAAGTTCTGAGAAGCCTCGTTCTGCAGTGCCAACACTGATTGGCAAGCATAATGCAATTTGGGGAATGCTTTCTGTTGCTGGAAAAATATCCTTTTTATTGAACTTTGTAGTACACTACTTGGAAGTTCTATGTTGAGGTATTAGATGGGCAAGGTCAACCCACAAATAAACAGTTCATAGATTGATGCAGCGCTGGAGGTCTTAATACTTTCAATCAAGAAGATACATCATACATTATAATAATAGCAATAATAACCATAAAAACTCCACTATCCACTAAGCAATTGATTTTTAGAGTCAGACTCTATTTGAAAGATATACTGATCTGGGTAGAGAGAGGGAGGGTACTTACCTCCCCTCCTCTAGTTAACAGGGTGCTACCAGATTATTGGATATGCTCCAATGCATCTGCTCAACGGTTGCAGACAAAGGTATCGACTCATATCACCTCATCGTAAACGTTGTTGTTTGAAGATCATGCGAAAAGCAACTACGCGTATTAGCTGACAATTTTGTTTCACGTATTTCGCTAGGTTAGCCGCATTAGAATGGACCATTGCATTTACCTAGCTAGATGTTTTTTCATGGCATATGAACAGAAACTCGATGAATACACAAAAATTAACCCCAGCTTGTACACCATTTCTCTCACGATTTTTTTATTAGATCAGGTGGGCTTGAGGATGTTCTATAAAAATATAACTACATTACCAGAAGTTTCCAAACAAAAATATCGAACTCAGCTTAAACTATAGGTTTTTCACGGTTTCGTTACGATCTTATAGAAAATAAGTGAACACGTCGACTAATTGTAGCACGTGCGTAGATTCACTTCCTCAAGGAATATTACACTCTGGTCAAACTGAACCTTGACGTGCCTTCTACCCGCTCTTGTACACACACATAAATTATGCAAAAACATTTTAAGGCTATATCTTCAGACATTGCTGTGTTTCATATCTATGATCAGCAAAAGGTAAAATGTAATGACAAACCCATGACAAGCAAGTTGCTATACAGACAGCGACGTACATGTGGAAGACGTTGATGAGAAAATTTCCAAGCTGATGAGACATGATTAGTAAACGTATATCGGTGACCTTACGCAAGCAAACCTCCACGAATAGATACAAATGTATGAGTAGAGAAAATGGATGAATAAAAATAATCCCTCTAATCTTACTGTGAGCCACCAGAAACAATGGAAAGATATACACATTTTTGATGTCATTACCACTTTTTGACATGGGCATCAAGAACTTTACTTAAACAAGTATTCTTTATCCATTTCACTCTAGTGTCTTTATTTAAAATTGACTTCGTTCCGCAGCGGATTCAACCTTGCAGCTCTTTCCTTCATGCTCCAACTCTTGAATGCCAGTCGAGGCTAAACGTGGCTTTTCGTAGATAAGGCACGGTCGCAGCTTGCAATTCAAATAGATACAACTCGATTCCTAATATCGGCCTTATTAGTACAGGGAATATCTTCGCACATACTCGGAAAAATATTCTAGACGTTTTTGGCGTAATCTCATTAAAAAAAGACTCCTTTCAAGTATCTGCATATTGTCAGGAGTAAAATTGCGTCAAAAATTATATATCTCTTTTAAGCAAATTCCTTTTTTTTCGCTAAAGCTTCGTGAGGTTTTTGGGTTCAAAAGTTCATAGGAGAATTCCTCTAAGGATGATAGTTTTCGAGATCTGAGCGAATTAAAATTTGGAAAGTATGTATTTGTATTAGAAGCTTAATGTTGCCAAGTTCCCAAATGTTAACAAAACGTTCACTGGAAAATTCCCAAAGGATTTTATGGGATATTGTACTGTGAACATTTGTTTTCTGATTGTTAAAAAGCGTGTGCCAACTGTATAACATACTTTGTGTGAGTGCAATAGAGATGCAGCGTAGAATATACATTGAGAATGCGCTTGACTAACAATTAAAAACCAAGGTTTACAATAAAAACATCCTCCCAAAGGTGCTTTATGGTTCTGTCAATAGATGCTTGAAGAATCTCTTGTTCTCAGAATGATCCAAAAACCTAAAACTCCTTGCTCGTAACGATAAATCGATTTTTAATATTTGTTCGGAATAATTGTTCAAGCAATTTTAGATGCAATTTTGAGCCTGGCAACATGCAGATTCGTTGGAACGTGTCCCTTTTCAATCATATAATGCAAGAAAACCGAATTACAACATTTTTCGGAATAGTTGCAAAGATACTTCCCGGACTATCTGAGCGACTGCGATGTCAGAGAGCCAAAGCTCTCTTGGGATTTTTGGGTCATTCTGAACAAAAAAGGATTTTACGAATATTCCTCTAAAGTTGACAGTTTTCGAGATCTGAGCGACTTAAAATTTAAAAAATTTCGAAATATGTAAATATGTATATTAAAGCTTTAATTTCGCTTAAGTTCCCAAATGTTAACTGAATGTCCCAAAGCGTTTTAAAAGAATATTCTTACTGTATACCTTTGTTTTCTGATTGTTAAAAAGGTGCGGGCCCGCTACACACTCTGTGTGAGTGCACGAGATGTGTAGCGTAGAATATATATATACATTGAGAGCTCGCTTGATTAATAATGAACAACAAAGGTTTTCAAGCCGCTGCCGAAAGTGCTTCATGGTTTACTTAACAGATGTTTGAACAGTATCCATGAACTTCGGCAAAAGTTAAGCTCCCGTTATTGTTTTTCAAGCCCAAACATTTTTCAAATATTAAATCACTCGAAAACTATTAACAGAGAAAAGATCATAAAACCTCTTGTGCTCAGAACGATCCTAGACCCTAAAGCCCTCGTTTGAAATGAAAATCGATTTTTGAAATTTGTTTGAAATAATTGTTTAAGCAATTTTACGGCAACATGCTGAAACAGAATGACAGCGTTTCTCCGAATCGATGCGAAGGTACTTCTTGGACTATTTGACCGACTGCGGTCTTTCCTGAGTACCCTGCCTCCAGCTCAAAACTAGTTTAGTCCAGTTATTATAGATTTTAGCTCCATATATTCCAAGGTTTTTCATACATATATCTTCTAGCGTCCTCGATGAATCCGTGTTGGTAAGCAAGTTACAATTTTTGTTAAGAATCCACAAAAACACAAATCAGCCATTGCATTCAGGTAAGTTGAAGCAGTCCAGGTTTGCAGCGGATTTATGATGTATTCCGGTAACCGCGCCATAGCTTTGCCAGTTTTCAGCAGTTTTTACTCTGCTGTAAAATTTGATATGTTGTCGAACAAATGACTGAGCTATCAAAGCTATTCCAAGGCTATTGCGTTACAGGATAGAACACAATGTTACATCAGATACAGCAATTGGATGTTTTTGTTGAGCTTCACTATTATCTCTCAACTAATTTGAACACAGACTCCAATGGTGACCCTGGATTTGACCTGGAGTCGCAATTTCAAGGTCAACCTTTGTTTTTCAAATAGAAATCCCCTTGTTATATTTGTATTAAAATCAGAGACTAAAACCAAATGTATTAGGCTACTGAGAATGCCTTAGAGTTTAATAGGATTATTGATGAGAACAATTATTATCAACAGGTATCCAATACCTTTTAACACGGATTTCAATACTCAGACCTGGAGCAACGTTCAAGGTTTTAAAATAGACTTTGAGTTAGATAAATATTGAGCATCACCTCCAAGGCCATCTGCATAGTACTTTAGAACGGATCAGATCGTAAGACTATCAACTGTCTTATGTTAAAGCAAGCAAGCAAATTTTATTTGACGTTCATTTGACCTTTAGGAGTGATATCGGTCTTAGATCTCGAGTCTTTCGATTTGCGGTTCCGATCTCCATTCAAAAAACTAAAGTAGACCTTCAAGTGAAGTTCAAAGTAAGGCTTTAGGACAATTCAAGGTCACGACTAAACTGCTTAATCAAAATTAATACTCTAATTCCTGACCTTTGTATAAATCGAAAAGTAAATATTTTTTATCATAAAAACTTCAGTATAACACCGCTGACGAAAATGACTTATGAGATAAAAAAGGGTCCGGTAGCGGATGAAATATGAGCAGAATATGCTTCAGAAGCATCGAGTTTGTTGTTTGATATTCTGCAAGTTTCTGATAATGTTTGCCATGCTCAATAAGAGCCTTCAAATGAGTTAAAATGCTTGAAAAATTCGACTCAATGTTCGTGTGACATCCTTCAGCTTCACATCATGGCCAAAAGCAAGTCAAGTTTTTTCAAGAACCGCTTTTACACCACATCCAGTTATAGGTATCACCAATTACAGTTCGAAGTATCGTATTTCTAACATTTATATTGATACTCAGCTGGTAAGCATTACTAATTTTTTAGCTTCCCACTACAGACGAAGAAGTATTGTAATTGCAAAGGATTTCGGAAATCGGATATTATGCTTTTTGTGTATTATATGACATGTAAATCACTATAAAACATGTCACTCATTTCCGTCGGCCTGTCCGCAAATCCTTGTTCCGTCTATAACCGTCTAGTACTACTCGGATTTGGGGGAAGCTTTCACACAAGGTTATGACTATGCCGTGGAAGCTTTCTAGTTATTTAATCGACGGCGACAGAAAAAATGACAAAAAAGAAAAAAATTAAGGTCAATCGAACGTTAACGTTGACGTTTAAGAGAAACCTGATCATTTTTGAAAGAAATTTAGGAGTTCAAAACTGGTTGGTGGGGTTGTAGGTGAGCAGGAGGGCGTGTTGCAATGTTGTTATGTTTGTACATTAATACACCCAGCCCCGGTAATTCGACGCACCTATTGAAGACATTCCACACACCATAGATTTCCCCGTACTTTGCCCTTAAAAATTAAAAGTATTTTTGGCACCGATCGGTTGCACTTGCTGTGCGCCACGGGGCTATGTATGTCTTCAGTAGTGGATCCGAGGGACTTTTGAAAGCAGATAACAGACATAGTGACTGTGACATTCTCTCTCTCTCTCTCTATATATATATACGAAGCATTATGCCTGGAATGTAATTTAAGGAGTTTACTTGATTTCATGGGAGATTAGCTTAGTATACACTGTGTCCCAGATTCACTTCTTTATACAGGGATCTCGGCTCCTGTTAAACCTACAGCGAAGGATAAATAGGAAAACTTTTAGAGGAAACTTAGTGCTTTCGTTAGCCGGCTTCAGATTTACGATCGGTTAATTGATTTTGAAGATAGCAGCGGAAAAACAAAAGATGGCTAATTTCGTTTTTTGTCAGTAAATCAAAAATGGTTAATTTGACAGCTGTCAAAATGTGACATTATCCGGACATTTTTTTAAGACAACTAATATAGTATGTATGAAATGTCTCAATCGTATTTTGTTTTCCAGCAACCCGCCATGTTGGATTTTTTGATTTTTGAAGAGAGTGTAAAATGTCCAGTCTAGTGATGTCTCACAAGTGCATAAAAGATTGGAGTATCACCGAAATATCATCATACGTAATGTTATGTATTATTTTTTTTCTAAGGAGGCTATTATTATTTGTCAGAAAATATCATTACTGAGTAAGACATAAATAAACAGACATAAGTGCCTTGAATTTTTAACAGAATATTAACGTTAATATCGACTTCTCAACAAGTCAAATATTTTGGGATAAATTCCCAACTACAGGTTTGTTAGAAAAACAAGTCAGAAAAATCGTCGTAAACTTAATTTACACTTGAACAAACAAACGTTTTAAAAAATTGTAATGTAATGTACAACCTAATTATGTAAGTGGGTATTATTTTACAGATTTGCGGAATAACGTCCATTTGCATCCAGACATTTTTGACAATTGGTGTCTGTTTTTCGTACAAGCCTAGCTAGTGTATTTCTGTTAATGTTCCTAACTGTGCTAAAAATTCTTTGTCTCAGGATTTATATGGTCGCAGGAAGATCAAATTGATAGACCTCATTCTTTGTGTGACCACCGAGGTAGAAATCCAAGGGTGAAAGGTCATTGGATCTAGGAAGCCAAGATATTGCACCATTTAATG